ATCGATATCAAAACTTCTTATAATTTTAAATCTTTTAAATATACGTTCAAGGAAAATTTCTATAAGTCTATCGCTTATTTCTAGACTCCTACGATCTAAATCTACATTCATATTGATTTTGTTTAAAAAAAAGTAAATTTTGATTTTTCTACTCTATATAGAACAACGTGAATCTTTAGAAGAAGAAAATCATCAAGTACATGAAACAAATAATACAACAATAACACGTTTACAAGAACTTGAAAATACAAGTTCTCAACTTCAAGTAAAATAAAAGAAGATTTTTTGCAAATATTCATTAAAATTTTGGTTTTCAGAGTTTAGAATCATTATGGAATAAAGAACGACAATTATATATTGAACAATTACAAATATTAGAACAATCATTGATTGAAAGCAAAAAATTATCTATTGATCAACAAACTAAAATTATGCAATTAACAATACAATTAGAATCAACTGAAGGACAATTACAAGCACAAGTATATTATTTTATTTAAACACAAAATAAAATAATTGATTTTTTTGTTATATTAAAGAAACGTGCATTAGATATGGGTGTTGATGAAAAAAATGAAACTATACTTAATCTTGATCGACAATTACGTGAAAAAACTCAACGAATAGAACAAGTACAAAAGAATCTCTTTTTTTTTTTTTGTTTAAATTTGATAATATCTATTTTTTTGTTTTTCATTACATTTAGCTTCAAACAGATCTTCAACGAAATATACGTCAAATGGAAAATCAACAAATAACATCAAATAAAACTATTCAATCATTAAAAGTATATATGATATATTATTAGTGTTTTATCCAGAGAGGTACCCGCGAGGGGCGGCCCCCGCCCCACAAAAAAATTAATTTTTCTCTTCCCTCGGAAATTCAAATCGCCCCTCCGGAGAAAAAATCCTGGATAAAACACTGTTATCTTCTTGTTTAATATATGAAAAAAACCAACAAAATTGAAATTTTTTATTTATATCTATAGAATCAAATTGATGAATTATTAAAAAAAAATATTTTAATTAATGAACAATATGATGAGCAAAATCAATTGTTAGTTAAAATTACTACAGGTTAGTTTTGTTTTCAGTATAAATAATAAATAATTTTTTTTTTTTTTGTTGTGTTAATATAGAACGAGATGTGATTAAAGCAGATATGCGATCATTATCCGAAACGTTTGATAAACAGTCAATTGAAAATGGTAAGTAAGATTAATTTTAACCAGCCATATTTCCTGATACTGTAGTAGTCGTTGTGCTAGGAGTGGCTGTTGATATAACAGCTATTGGACGTGCAGGTAATGCAGCGAAAGAAGCTGATCCAGGTCCTAAAAAAGAGCAAAACTAGATACAAAAAAAAAAAGAAAACAATGAAATCATCTTACCTATACGTGATATGGCTAAAACTTCTAAAATACTAAGAAAAGCTATAAGTGCACATTGTGATCCACTTGAATTAAGTACTTGAACATTAGTAAGAGACATTGAAGATGGTGCATTAGCTCTGACTAGAGCTGCTATAGCAGGACCAAAATTTGATTGACATTGATAACCACATGTTGACACAAAGTAGAAGAAGCAAATAACTTTTAAGACAAATCTAGCAGATTGACGTTTTACAAGTGAACTAGAAAGATATTGTTGTTGAAATATTGAATCTTAATAATATATTTAATAACTTACAAACGTTTTCGTCTACTAGTACTTTCGGCTGATACTTCAGTACTTGATACTTCTACATTGCTGAATTTTTTATTCGATCGACAAGCCCTACGAAGCTAAAATAGAATAAACAGATTAACACACACAAAAAAAAGAAATAATTTATTGTTTGAAGAAGAAATAGTTAGATGAATTAGACAATTATATCTTTATTCTCAATCTTTTCATTTCTGAATATCAAAAAGAAAAAGTATTAATAAAAGACATACCCCATCTTCAACCATTTTATTGGCTGATGGTGCAAATTTACCACCAATACAATTCAATAATCCACTATTTCCTGATGTTTGTCTTTTTCGTCTTCCATTGCTTGTACTACCAGCATTGAGATACATTGTGACTGGAGAACTTCTTGTTGCACCTACAATCGTATTTTATTAAATAGATTTTTTTGTGTAAAACAAAAAAAACCATAAATGATTAATTTACCCGATCTTAATGCAGCTGATTTAGTTGGTGTATAAATGGGTATAAGTGCTAGTACAATAGTAGCAGCAAGTAATAATAAAAGAAGAGCTCCACAACATATAGCTCCAATAATTGGAAGTGCAGTTTTTCCTGCTGCGCTGCTACGATCCGGTGGTGAATACATTTTAACTGTATCAATAAAGGAATGTACGACTTTCTATACTAAAACTTTATGACTGCAACGAAAAAAGAAATCAATATGTTTATATAGGTGTTGTGTATGTCTTTTTTTTTTTCGCTCATTTCATACCTAAAAAGCATAGCAGTACCAAAAACGAAGCGTAGGTTAAAGTCAGAACTGTGAATATATCTATTCAGGTATGATTATTGATGCACATTAAAAAAAAAAAATGATGTTTACCTTCAGATGAAAAAATATTTTGATAGGAGTATCACGTATAGTTCTACATTATTCTCTAATTTATAATTAGCAATTGAGTGAGTTGAATAATTTTACAGTATGTGACCATGAAAAAAAAAAAATAAATGGAACAAAAAAAAAAGAAGACGAAGAAAATCATCAAGCCCAATCAATAGTTGTCATTGATTGGGCTTGATGATAAATATCTTATTTCTAATTAGAGGATCTTTTCTTTTTTTTTTCTTAACTATAATTATTATTAATTTGTTGTTATATATATATATGTTGAATTTATGAATACACGTATATTTTCAAGAAATTAAGTTTTAATTCGAGTTTATTAAAAAAAAATTTTTATGATATTATATCTTTTCTGTTTTTTTGAACGAGATGAAATGGATTGATTTATCAAAATCTATAAAAAATTTTCTTTTTTGGAATTTAAAATTGATTGTTTTTCGTTTGTGATATTAAAAAAAAAACATTTATTTTTTTTTTCATTATCGTCTGTTAATATCAATCGACAGTTTTTTTATAAATAATATTAAAAAAAATCTCATCGTATTAAGTAAACAAATTTTTATTGCGAAATAAATAAATAAATGTACATGATTATCTTATCTATTTTAAAATGAAAAAAAAAACAATTTTCTTTCCTTGATAATCAAAAAAAAAAGTGCGTTGCTTAGTTATCATTATATAGTTGAGACAGTTTTTCTGTCGTTTAACTATATGTATATTGATATCATCAAAATTTGTAACGCTGTTTTGCATCTCTATAGAATCTTGCTCGTCTCGTAACAAGTTACCGTTACATAGTTCTCGTTGTATCTTAATGAATCATATAAGATATGTATATATCTATCAAGAGTTTAATAAACTTCATAAATAGAGAGTCAATATATTAATACAAAAAAAGAAAAATCTATTTGAAAATTTTACTAAAAACAATAATGGAAATCTAAATGTTTTTTTTTTTCTTTTATCTCGAAGAAATTTTGTCAAATTAATATGAAAAAGTAATTCTTCGCAACATTTCTTTATCATTCTTTTTTTTTTAAAGTCCTTGAGAAAGGCAATCAATAATTCATATGAATTATAATGAAACATTATTAATATACAGTCTATGACCATATAACAACAAACTTTTTGTCACGGTCTATGATGAAGGAGAGACATTACTAGAATGTTCTTGGTCGAGGTGTTCGAATTTTTTACCGGTATATTTCAACATTCCTTTGAAATTTTATTTTATAAAATTTTTTTTCTTATTTCTATTTTTTGTCATAAATTTAAATCAAAATATCAAATTATCGTTGTTTTATTTTTACTAAATTAATTTAAACTTTTTTTTTATGAATTATTTAAAAAAAAAACAAACAGAAATAAATATTAGTGTTTGTGGTTTTTTATTTGAAAATTCCTATAAAAACTCTTAAATGAAATAGCGAAATTGAAAATGTAATATATAAGAAAAAGGCGTCATTTGATTTCAACCGTATCATAAAAAATAATATGACTTCCTGAAATATAATAATTAATGAAAGTAAATATTAGTTTTTTCAATTAAGTTTTGACAAATTTTAAGATTGACGTGTTCATTCATCCATTAAATTGCAATCATATTCGATCAAAAAAAACAAAAAAAAAGGCATATATCACAAAATAGCAGTTCTATCGTGATTATCATCTTTTGTATATTGCAAAATTTGATATTAATATCAAGATTAAGTATTAGAGAAACAAATTATTATATTGAATTCTCATTTATTTGATTTCAATCGAAAAGAAATAAAACAAAAGTTTTTCTTTGTTTTTTGATTAAAACAATTACAATCATGATTATATTAGGATATATTACATAGTTAATGAAAGAAATCATAGTTTAGAATATATTTCGATTTATATCTTCTTGATACTATTTATTATACATTCTTCAAGAACTTGTATGTCTACATCTCTCTGAGAGCTGAAAATTATACAGATATGTATCAATAAAATATATTGATATTATGATTCAAGGTGAATAATCTATTACGGATTAGTATGAAATAAATGTTATAATATAAATTTGTTTTCTTTTTAAGGAAACAATAATCAATAAAACGCTTAAAATTTTGCATTTAAATGTATATAAGTAAAACTTTTTTTTTTTATTTTATGAATTTTACCAAAATTTAGAGTAGAGAACATAGACTGTATAAAAATTTCATATTATACTTTCTTACTCTTAAATTGAGAGTTTACTGTAAGATCAAAATTGACTTACGTATATAAAAATATAATTTTAATCGAAGTACTTTGAAATATATGAAGTTTATAAGTAAATGTATATTCTAAGTAAATCATCTATTGAACTCAATTTGTTATTCTATAACAAAATTGTGAAAACAGCATTAAAACAAATCTGATATTTTCTTTTGTGTTTATTTTTTCATTTAAAATACAATATGCAATTAGTTTAATATAAAGAAAAATAAATATGAGAGCTGCAATAAAAACATGTCTCTTTGATATAAAATAACAAAAAAGTAACATTATCAAAGTTAAAGTACTTATCGACGAGCAGCATTAACAACAGTACGATGAGAAATAGATTATATTCTTATAACTGTTGACTTTTATGATCGAATCATTTCAGATATATTATTTATTCAATTTTATTTAAGCCTTTGGTTACGCGGTTTTTCTATCAACAAAAAAAATTTTTAGTTTTTATGAAAAAACTTGAAATAGAGCGTATACATGTGTGGTAGTGCTACACAATGACGCTGTGATTCTGATAATATGAAAGCATTTTTAGGATCTAACTAAGTAGTAGAATCCTGTAGGATAACTCTACCCTGAAGGGACTTAGGGTACAACCAGAGTAGAAGTGGATGGGGTTAGTCTACGACTATTAGGTAATCATCATGGTGGCTTTTGAGGCAACATCTCTACTTAAGCGGAAAAGTCAAAACTGTAACAAAAATAGTCCGAGCAAAAGGCCAACACGCATATATGCGGATTTCGTAACAAAAGAGTTACCTTTGATACTTTTCATATGGATATTGATAATTATAAGCTATTATTTTTGTTATATTATTATTAAGCAATGTTTTGTTTTTAAATATTATATAAATATCTATTGTAAGTACATTTTTTTTGAAAAAGACTGATAAGAAATTTGTCAGATTATTGAGTTAACAAATGATTATTATACTTTAAGAATAAATCGTACTATATATATATATATTATGCATATCAATAATCTAGTTGACACAAAAGTAGTTCATTATGATCTGATTTGAAAAATATTTTTTTCTTTTTACATAATTATTAAGTTTTGATTTTATCTGTATAAAAAAAAAAAACTATATATATAATAGTGAAGATATTGATCCTTATGGGTTAGAAAACAAAATTATCATTTGACTGGCTTTTAATCAAGATAACGATGCTCACAGTATCATAAATATGTAAATGTGTTTTTTATTGACTCGATCATATAGATTTTCTTTCGTATCGATATTATAACCTTGATATATCACATGATTTTGATCAAATGCTCATTTAATATCGAGATAATTGAAAAAATATCACCCGTCAGTCAGAATATTTAGTTTGTTTTTCTTTTTATCATCTTAGAAAAACAAAATATAATATATAATAAAGTGTGAAAAGTTCTACAACAGAGGTTCAAACAGGCCACGTTTTTTAGGTCTGCACGGCCTGTCAAGTTTTTCGAGCGAGTACAATAATGATGACAGACTAGAAACCAGAGGTCCAAACAGGACACTAGAGCTATTTCTCAACCTGATCCTGTCATAGGCATCACCTATGATTTTCAGAATAGTGCAAGTCAGAAATCCAAGCAATTTTTGGTCTGTCACTGGCACTAGTCTGAAAACCATGGGTAATGCCTATGGCAGGCGGGTCCGGATCAGATTGAGCAATAGCTCTAGTGTGTTGTTTGGACCTCTGGTTTCTAGTCTGTCATTATTATTGTACTCGCTCGAAAAACTTGACAGGTCGTGCAGGCCTAAAAAACGTGGCCTGTTTGGACCTCTATTGTACAATATAATGCTTATTTTATATATCAATCTTTAATTTTAAAAAATAGAAAAAATTCTTTTATGCTGAGAAAAGGCTATTTTTGTTTTTCTAATATACGAGAAATTCCTTTTTGTGTACTCAAAAAGTGAGTACACTCTAGAATCGGTCAGTGTGTCCGGCCGTCCGGCCGTCCGTCCGTCCGTCCGTCCGTCCGTTTACACGATAACTTTTGAAAGGAGAGTCAGATCGCGATGAAATTTTCTACACAGTTCAGTCTTAACAAGATCTCGGTCGAGTTCGAAGATGAGAAGGATCCGTCAAGAAATGACTGAGTTGTCGAAAAAATTGTGATTTTTGACCAGACCATCCCTGAGGGGGGGTACGGGGATTTTTCGAAAAAAATTTTTTGCTCATACTTATTCACAAAATACATAAATCGACTCAGTTTTTAACGCTGATTCGGAATCTGATATTAGTTTTGAACTGAATCATAGTTTTGTGTCCTCAAAAAGTGAGTACACTATAGAATAGTCAGTGTGTCCGTCCGTCCGGTTGGATGTTTACATGATAACTTTTGACAGCAGAGTCAGATTGCGATGAAAATTTCTACACAGCTTAGTCTTGACAATTTCTCGGTCGAGTTCGAAGATGAGAAGGACTGGCCGAGCCGTTCCTGAGTTATTGCGAAAATACCCATTTTTCTCTATAGCTTTCTGTGGAAAAATGGA